GTGTAGGTCAGGTATATGTTAGATGCTTAGCAATAGGCTTGACTGTTTACATTAGCTCCGATGGATGGGAAAAGGCGGTGGCTATGGTGGCTCAGAGGTTAAGACGCTGAGCTGCTGACCAGAAGGTTGGTAGTTCGGCAGTTCGAGACCCGAGTGCCGCATGATGGAGTGAACTCCCGTCTCTGGCCCCAACTCCTGCCAACCTAGCAGTTTGAAAGCAAGAAATTGCAAGTAGATAAATAGGGACCACTTCGGTGGGAAGGTAACAGCGTTCTGTGCGCCTTGGCGTTTAGTCATGCTGGCCACATGACCACAGAAACGTCTTCGGACAGCGTTGGCTCTTCGGCTTTTAAACGGACCTGAGCACCGTCCCCTAGAGTCGGATTCAACTAGCTTTTGAGCAAGGGAAACCTTTAGCTTTATGGGAAAAGATACTTAACATCTGAATTTAGTCTTGTTTGCGGTTGTTCTGGCCAACCGCCCTCCGTTATGGGTCTTGACAGAGCAACCAAGGATCATAGAACTACAAGTGTACAGTTTATGTATTGGGGTTGTGTTGAAATATTCTGTGTTGAATATCAAAGTGTTTTCTGACTCAAAAGTGTGTAACGGAATAAATTGAGTTTTGGTTTAGAACAGCCGTGTTTCTCTCTCTCTCTCTCGATGCAATTGGGATCCCTGCCAATTTCTCTCCTTCACCATTGACCACAGTGGGGAAGGGAGTCCATGAAAATGTTCCTACACTCCTAATTTCCCCAACAATACTATATACAATATATACTATACTGGCTGCGTTCACACATATTGGAGAAATGATGACTGTGGGGGTGACATGATAGAGGTTTACAAGATTATGCATAGGATAGAGCAGGTGGAGAAAGAAGTACTTTTCTCCCTTTCTCACAATACAAGGACTCGTGGGCCACTCCATGAAATTGCTGAGCTGGGTTAGAACGGATAAAAGGAAGGACTTCTTCACCCAAAGAGTGATTCACACATGGAATTCACTGCCACAGGTGGTGGTGGCAGCTACAAGCATGGACGGCTTCAAGAGGGAATTGGACAAACATATGGAGCAGAGGTCCATCAGTGGCTCTTAGCCACAAGGTATAGATAGGAGCTCTCGGTCTGGGACAAGCGATGCTTTGTATTCTTGGTGCTTGGGGGGGGGGGCGGCAACAGTGGGAGGGCTTCTAGCGTCCTGGCCCCACTGCTGGACCTCCTGATGCCACCCGGTATTTTTGGCCACTGTGTGACAGAGTATTGGACTGGATGGGCTATTGGCCTGGTCCAACATTGGCTTCTCTTATGTTCTTTATTGGAAAATGCACTTTCAATGCACTTTAGCAAACATTTGCAACTGGGTTTTCCTATGTGAAACAAGAAAATCCACTTGCAAATTATTACTAAGGTGCATTGGAAGTGCATTATCCAACATGTGTGAAAGCAGCATAGTTTTGCTACAGATCCATGAATTTTCATTTCAGGCACCAACTGTACACAGGAGCAATGGCAATGAACCTCCAGAGGCCACTTCTCCTAAACAAAACAGTTTCAGTCGGAAGACATCTCTAGTGCTGCTTCTCCAGACAAATTCGCCATGGCTCGGGTCCGTAGCTACATTAGGGCTTTTGGGGGCTCCACGCCCTTTCTTAAATGCACAGCCCCACAAGAATTTCTCCTGTAAGTGCTTTTTTCAATCATTTAAAAACATTTTTAAAAGGTGTGCACACCTTTAAGCAGAGCAGGGTGCTGTAATTGACTAATTCCTGCTCTGAGCAAGGGGGTTGGAGTAGGTGACCTCTAGGATCCCTTCTAACTCTGTGTCAATAAACTGGTCTCCTTTGACAGAGTTTTTCTGTCTAAGTGTTAGCTTTCTTGATTATAGAAGTCATCACCCCACCTGCCGGCTTGTTCTCAGAGTGGTTGCTTAGGCTGGCAGAAGTGATTAACTTGCAGCAGCTGAGAACCGTCATCTAAAGTGGTTGACAGCTCGCAATTTAGAGATCTATCCTGGTAACAGGTTTCTATTGGCTAAGTGGCTTATCTTTCTGCCCTTCTGAACTTCAGCCCCACCAGAAAAAAAATTGCCCCACAAGCCACAAAATCCTGGCTATGGGCCTGCCATGGCTTCATTTCATATGTTTATGTCTTTATTTCGTTTCATAAGTCTATGTATTTCATATGTTTATATATTTACAGCTGCTTTGAAACGGATTTAATTAGAATCTCTGATAATGCAGATTTTGCCTCATACACACTTATGGTAGTCTTTGAAGTGCTAGAAGACCCTCTGTTACTTATTGGGGCCTGCCCTTTCTTGGAATAAAGAGTTTCTTTAATGTGTGGGATTTTTGAGGGGAAATATTCCTCTGTGTGTGTGTGTTTGTTAATTAAACATCTTCTTGCATACTGGTATCCTGAGAGATACTGAAACAATCCACTTTGTTTTGTGGAATTTCCACTAAAAATTAAAAAAAAGACTTGAAGAGACTGAGGGTTTCATACAATATTTTCTCTCCAAAATTGCCATCCAGTTCATATGAACCCAAGAAAAACTTCCTCAGTTGTAGAGACACTTGTTTGCCATCTTCCGGGAATGGATGAAGACTTTTCTTGTCTTGTCCTGTGTTCTTTCCTTCCTGCCCTATGTTTTAATTGTTGTTTTCATGTTCTTGCACATACATTTTAGCTTGGTTTTAATTACATGCTTTCGTTTGATTTTAGTGGGTTTAAAGATGTGCTTTCATGATGTACGTTTTTGTTACCTGATTTGGTAACCCTGATGAGAGCAAAAAAAAGCGAGGTATAAATTTTGTAAACCAAAACAACAACAACAACTGAAGCTGAAACCCCAATGTGAAATTTGAAGAACAACATAGTGTCAGGACGAGGGACAGTAGTTGCCCTCACCCAGGAGTTAAAATGAGGGATGGAGACATATTGTTCCCCATCCCCAACTGCAGAATGTGCAAGGGTTCGTCTTCCTGTTTTGATTGCCAGATGACTAGAATTGACGATATCCCGTGACTAAGAACCAGCTGCTTATAAATGGAAGCTTTATTTATCCCAGGAACAGGGACCCCAAATACAGAGGAGGGGGGAAACTGCCTGCTTTCACTTCTGAGAACCAAGCGTGAGTATTTTTACGACTGTCGTGGTTTGCTGTTTATCAACAGAGAGGCAAGGAGTTAGCGTTGCAGATGGAACAACCCTGCCATCACCAGGAAGAATTCCAAAAGGATTTAGGTCACCCCAAGTTCTTTGTCTGGATGCCCGTGGCTGGTTTATACAAATAGCGTTGTCTATGTTCCTTTCAGTCACTAGGTGGGGCAAGAAAACTATTCCTGCAGTTATCTGGATGACTTCCTTCAGAGCATGTGTGTAATGAAACATAATTTCTTCGAGACTGCAAAAGCGCCTCCCGTGCATTCTACCAATACATATGCAAAACGTCCAGTTTCCTGATTCACAGTAACATAATTAGATAGCAACATATCCTGCGTATAACTGCTGACAACGAAGACCTAGTTCCTGGCATCCAAGACGTCTTTGAATGCCTTTTCTCCAGTCTTCAGTCACAACAGTATTTATTTCAAAGTCGTCTTATAATGTATCTTAACGAAATTATTTAATTTAGACTCCTTTAACCAAATGAAATCCCGTGACTCCAAATTAAAAAGCATGAGCTATATTCCTAAAGCCACTTGTAAATATTTCCTAATTTTGAAGGATTTATTGCCAGACGCATGCCTTTGGAACTGCAACCACACTCCGTTCACCTAATCAAAGGCGAAAAGAGAAACTTCTGTGTTCCTAACATTTTCCAAGTGTGTGTTATATCAGCTTACTTCAATCAGAGCTTTGGCATCCTCCTTGCTTAAAATTGTGATATAATGGCTCAGTTAAATTTCTACCGTTTCTTTTAAGTGACACTGTAGAATTTATTTTATTGGAGCAAGCTGTTTACTCCGAGCAAAATGCAAAACTATCCGCTACTAGGTTGCTTCGAGATGGATGACTTAATGCCTGGCATTAAGAAAACTGCTCTTCTTTTCCAAACTGGAATCAAGATTTGTTTACTGAGTTGAAAAACTTACAATAAACTGAGTTCTGGCTCAGCCCATTTTCTAATGCTTAATCCTCTCTCTCTGTGCCACA